ACTGGATATCATTTGTGAGTGATGGAGCTAGTGTACTTATTGGTAAAAAAGCTGGAGTCGCAAAATTACTTAAAGATAAATACCGTTTAATTTTTAACTGGCATTGCCTTAATCACCGCTTAGAACTCGCTGTCAATGACACAATGAAGGATATAAATGCAACTAATCATTTCAAAAGTTTTATTGATTCACATATATGTTTTATATAATCATTCCCCAAAAAACAAAAATGAATTAAAGGATATTTGCAATGAACTTGATATTATTTTTGTTAACATTGGAAGAGTATTAGATGTTCGCTGGGTAGCAAGTAGTTGGCGTGCAGTTAAATCTGTGTGGAGAACATTTCCTGCCCTAAGTCAACACTTTCATTCATCTTCATTAGACATAACTAGAGACGCAAAATCAAAAAGTAAATACTTAGGTTTATATAAAAAAAATAACTAGTCCTGAGTTCATTTCTGATTTAGCTTTAATGTTTGATGTATTGTACGAACTTTCTACTGTATCTTTGGCTCTCTAAAATTTAAAGTAAAGATATTACATTGATAAATGCTGATTCAAAAATTAAAAGAACAATACGAATAATAGAGTCATTTAAATTTAAAAATGGTGATCACATGGAGGAATTTAAAAAAGATTTATCAAATATGTTATTTAAAAATATAAAGTTAACTAATTATTCAAGAATGGTTTCCATTAATAGTAATTAGTTCATAACAAGTATCTGTGTTAATCTAAATTCAAGATTATTAGATAAAAATGATATTGATAATTCAATTCTTCAAGATATCTGTATAGGTACTAGATAAAACTACTTGGCCTCAAACGGTTGGTGTAAGGTATGGGGAAGACCAAGTGAAACGAATATGTGACCGATTTTTTTTAAATAAAGATAATGCAGTTCATGGTTTTAGAGAATTTTTAGAAGAAGATAAAAGTTCCAGAACATCGATCTTAGAAATAGATAATTGTGTTCAAACATTTCCATGTTCCACAGCTGAGTGTRAAAGAGGCTTTAGCCTTTTAAATATTATTTGCAATGATCTTCGAACAAGATTAATTTAATTAATTAATTTCTGAATTGATGTTTATTAAAATAAATGGTCCTCCATTGCATGTTTGGAAACCAGAAGTGTATGTGAAGTCATGGCGGCTAGTGCGTCACAGATCAGCAGATGATACACAATCAAAAAATATTTTAAAAAAACATAGAAAACCAAAGTATTTGGAATATTTTGTAATGTATTAATRTAATATTTTAACAATAAAATGTTATTTATGTAATTTATTTAATTATACTACAATTAGTAGTTTTATAGACATAATTTACATATACCTATTAATTTTGTAATTTTATAATGCTATTGTTAATTTGTGAAATAGTTAGAAAGATGTATCTTTCTGCGAGCGTAGCGATCGGCTTTGTAAAGTATGTTTTATCAAAAGCGCCCATATGCAATTTCAGCCTCGGGACCCAATAGGTTCTTAATCCGGCGTTGAAAATATGGCGTATACTCAAATCATTATTTACTAATACATCCCTGGAAATAACTATTCTAAAAAATTAAAAACAAAAGTTATGAAATAGAAACGGTTTTTTATTCTTTAGAAAAATCAGTGTTTTACTTGACACGTTACTCTCAACATCCGTCCATATATTATCAATACCTAGTGTCCAGACTCCAGAATGTCCAGTTTTAGGCAGTATTCCGAAAAAAATTATGACAAATATGGAATTCGAATATTCRGGATACCTTCTAAGTATTATTACTAAACAAAGTAAGCACTAAGTAGGTCAGTACTTTTAAAATACTTAGTTTTCGGAAGACTAT